CCGCACGTCGCGGACCGAGAAGTCTGCCGCTTCTTCGCTTCTTCTCCAGTGCTTCCACACGCGCCTCATGCGTTTATAATCGAGAGTGATGAGCTCCCCTCGGTCGTCCACGAGCTTGCCGCGCAGCGCCTGGCCCACAGGTCCCGTTCCTGGACCTCGTTCCGACGAAGCGCTGCTGCAGCTCCTCGCTCCTCCTCACCCGATATCACCAGCGTCTTAAGGTGAACATCATGACAACACCCAAGATATACCGTTCATCAAGACCCTGGATTCCTCACGCTTCTAGTTTCTCCATCTTAGCTCCTTGAGAGCTCTTCCTAATGGTAAACCGCTTGGAGATTCATGAATACGTCCTAAAGTTGCCTGTTAATCCTGGTGTTCACTTCCTGCGGGTCTAGTTTCCTGTACGTCTTGTTCTCTAGACCCGGTTACAAAGGTGGGTTTCTTGGGAAGGAGAGAGTGGGTGTGATGGGTGAACAAGGCTGTGGAACAAGAGTGAGAGAGATGAATGGTACGGTTTCTATGTTGGGTTGCCGTGAGCTAGGAAGTCAGTACTAAATCCTAAGGTTGGACACATGAATAGGATGATAGCGGTCTAGCTCTTGGAAAAGCCGCATGAATGAATATTATAAGGCTTTTTACGGAGTCTTGGAGCGCGTACAAGGATGAGAGAAGTGAGTGAGTGATTTAATATTAAAATTACAATGCAGTGAGTCAACGAACAAAGCGTGAATTTTAATAATTAGATTATGAACGTAACGTGTGAACAAACTGAATACAATAAACGAATGTGTGAAGGAAGTGAAACGAATGAACACATGAGTGATTGAATGAACGAAGTGAACAGACTGATGAAAAGAAGAGAGCGAAACGAATGCATTTACAATTATATTAATATTGCTCTCTTCTTTCCTATCTTTTGGTTCCTTGTTCGTTCACCTATAGTATTATATTACGGGCTTTTCGTTCGCGCGATAAATTCACGCATGCGTGCGCTTTATTTCGCCCGTAATAAGACTATTTTGTGGTGAACGAAGTGAATAAGTAAATGAACGAAGCGAATGAAACGAACGTAATGAATTCACGCATTCACGCGTCGTTCACACACAAAATTTGCATAATAATAAAAGTATTATGGGGCGGCCTTCACGAATCTTTAATTCGGCCGCAGTATTAGTATTAAAATAGGATAGAATTTATAAGGAATAAAATGACGCATGAAATTCGTTCATTTAATTCATTTCACTTCCCCTTTCTCTCTTCCCATCTTTTCCTTGTTCATTTCATGCATGCGCACTATATTTATGATTATTCACGCGCTCACTTGTAATAATAATAAAATAGTGAGCGAAATGAAGGAAACAGAAGAGAGAAAAGAGATTCATGAACGTCACATCCTTTTTCCCGTTACGTTCACACTCTAATATTCATAGCACGCGTCACACGTTCCTTGTCAATAAATATTCGCTTGGTCGCGCAATTTCTTCACATCTGTTTTTTGAGTATTCTGCACAGCGTCACATGCTCAAAGCCAGAACATTGCTTGGAGAAGCAGTTCAGTTTAGCAATGCTTTGAGTCTCTTCGTGGACAAGGTAAGCACTTGTTGCACCATTACTTGTTGCCACAAAAGTGTGCAATGTCATATGATCAACGCTCATGAAGATAGCTGCCAACTGCAATGCCTTGAGTCGGATAGTGTCGTAGGTGTTGCATCGGTGCCTCTGCTGTCGGCCGCAATATGTGACACTCATTCCTGCACTTTTGTGTTGCTAACATACTTTGCCCTCGCAGTACAACCTCAAGCAAAACTTAGCATAGGAGTATTCCTCAGCATGATCCCTGGGCACTTGTGCATGACCCCAGTTGTGCATGGTTCGTCGGTGATCCCTCGAAAGGGGCTGAGCCAGCATCTCTGTGCCGGAACTAGAGCACCTGGGGACAGATACAAGAGGGTCCTCCAGAGCAAGCTCACACGCCGCTCGTTGCCAGAGATTGCCGCAGCGTTGCGTTTGAGGGTGTTAGCAAATTGGCTCCCTTTACTAATTGGTAGTGCCATCACCGCTGTGCTGAATGACATCGCCACGAGGGCCCCCATCCGGAGGGCCCCTCGGAAGTTCATGAGGAGTGCCGCAAAGAAGTTGAGCAAGGAGTACAAGGTTTACGCCAACCAAGCAGAGGAGAGGCCAGAAGCAGAGCGAATGCTCCGGGAGTTCTTGGACATGGAAGGGCCCAAAGAGAAGCAATCTCCCTCCTTCTTGCTTGTCAGTGGCCCGCAAGGTGTTGGGAAGACAACACTCATTCAGTCTGTACTCGGGCAGTACGCTGAGGACGGCAGATGGATCATACCTCTCCAGGAAGATGTAGAACCTGGCAAGGACTTTGATCTCACTGCTAGGCTCCGCGCGCGACTAGAGGTCTTGGAGCTGCCTCCGAACTTTTCCTCTTTACCTGAGGACCTCCTGGAGATCTTGGACGAGGACTGCAGAAGAGCAACAGGAGGACCTGTCATCCTCTACTTGGCGCTCACGACCAGGAACCGAGCAGATGCCTTCTCAGCCAACGAGTGTGATGACATCGCCTCCCGTGTTGGAGCCTTGGCAAGAAGGTTGACCTACGACTGTCCAAGAGCGAAGTTCATCATAGAGGTGAGCATCTCCGCGGTTGCAGACCTGATGCCTGCGAAGTACAATATGTCAGACATGCTGATTGTAGATGGGCTCCCGTTCCAGCAGTTCCAGAAGGTTGCCACGGACGAATACCACAAGTTGCTCCAGCAGGTCCTTGGAGAGGATGAGTCGCGATGGAAGTCAGGTCTGGAGTACTTCTACTGCCGCTTTGGTGGCAGCTTCCGCTTGTTGCAAGACATGCTCCGGGCCGCCTTGAGGAAAACTGTGGAGTTTGAGCAGATAGTGGAACAGGGATACAGAAATGCAGTAGCGCCGCTCGACACTGCGCTCAAGGAGACTACTGCGCCCAAGGAGCTGGCTGGACTGTCATGGTTCTTTCCCCCAGGGCTCTTTCCCTCGAAGTATGAGGCATTCCTCAGGACGGTGGCGGAAACACCGAAAGGCTACATGACCAAGAACGCAGCCGAGATTGAGCTAGAGAGGGAGCTGCTCAAGCTGGCTCCAAGGGAGCGACTGCTCAAGAGGCTGTGTGCCTATGCAATTGCGCTGAAACACCGCTTCTACATTTTCAAGATGGTAGGCGAGGACGCTGAGAAGATGCGCGAACTGGGCTACTTGTGATGCATGTGACCGTAGTGACCGCAAAAAGTTAATTGGTTCATAAACCCTCCCTATACTACACACTGAAACCCGGAATCGGGGCGCAGGAGGGTGAAACCCAGAATCGGGGCGCGGGAGGGCAGGTGAAACCCGGAATCGGGGCGCAGCAGGGCAGGTGAAACGGGGGGCGTGGGAGGGCAGGTGAAAGCCCGAAAGGGGCGCAGCAGGGCAGGTGAAACCCGGAATCGGGGCGCGGGAGGGCAGGTGAAACCCAGGAAGGGGGGCGCAGAGGGCAGGTGAAACCGGGAATCGGGGCGCGGGAGGGCAGGTGAAACCCAAAAAGGGGGGGCGCACAAAGGCAGGTGAAACCCGGAATCGGGCCGCAGGAGGGCAGGTGAAACCCAGAAGGGGGGCGTGGGAGGGCAGGTGAATCCCGGAAACGGGCGCAGAAGGGCGCGTGGTAAGCTCCTGGTGGGCAGTTGGGGGGTTTCACCTGGGCTCCTGGGCACTTGGGGGGTTTCACCTGGGCTCCTGGCGGGCAGTTCACCTGGCTCCTGGCGGGAAGTTGGGGGGTTTCACTGGGCGGGGCGGTTGGGGTTTCACCTGGGCTCCGGGTGGGGCGGTTGGGGTTTCACCTGGGTATTTCGTAATCCGCTCCCTTTGGAATTGAAATGGGTGAGGTTTCAGATGTTCTAAACACCCATGCGTTGGCGGTTTAGGCCACTCGATGTCTGAGATTTGGGGAAACTATTTGGTCTAGGTGATTGACCACTGAAAATCGCAATGTTTGGGTGTGTTACCTTACAAGGGAGTATACTCTGGTCGTTTCACCATGGAAAAACACAACTCCCTGACTTCACAGTCGCTGCTATCTCAACTCCAAGTTGCTTATTTCAACTGCCTGGTCCTAAATTGGGTTTGAGGTGATTCTCGATGGCCTGCCAGTACTAACCATCAACGGTTGAAGTCGTAATGAGGTCGCTGCATTATAGTCTATACACACTGAGGACACTCGTCAGTGACATATATCTTATAAGCGTATGAACAGCCAATCGTAAGTTGATCGCTCTTCTTTCAAGGACGGCGGCTGAAGTCGCCGGTTTCAGAAGTTGGGGCGGAAAGTGTTTGACAGGTGAAATGATCGGTGTGCCTCTAAGTATCACCTGCAAAATGAGCCAAGATGAAGATTTGTAACATACATTCCCTGTATTTGCCTTTTATTCGGGGGTTCCTAGGCAGTAGATTCAGCGTGCTCTGTATACAGCTTGGAACCTGGAAGCCGCCATGACTTGGAGCCAAGTTTGATCTCCAAACCGCACCTCCGAGACCCAGCGGGTCATCCCAGAAGTGACGGACCAACAATGTCAAACACGAGTTTTTCATGAGCATTTGATTTCAGAAGCGTTGCGGCACAAGCGAATCTTATTTGACCAGTCTGACCAACCAGTTTTGTCCCATTATCATCTCACTGTTTCCTTTGACCAGTCAGTTTTGTCCTCTATAGTTAATCTGATAAGTTTCACACCCTAAACCCTAAACCCTAAACCCTAAACCCTAAACCCTAAACCCTAAACCCTAAACCCTAAACCCTAAACCTTAAACCCTAAACCCTAAACCCTAAACCCTAAACCCTAAACCCTAAACCCTAAACCCTAAACCCTTCCTGGCCAATCTCCTGGCCAAGCCTTTGGAGATCTGCCATGGGTGGATGTTGCAGCGGCGAGGAGAAGGAAGTGAAGGTGAAGAGTGTGGAGTACCGCTCAGATGATGCTATGGATTTGGCGCGTTTTCTCGTCACTGCAGACATACGTTTTGTTCGTGCCGAATTCTTGTGGAGTTTGTGTGAAACACGAAGAGTCATCCCACGACGGCAAGAAGCAGAACAGAAATACTTCGAGACTGAGGGCATGGGCATACGGACAGCTCTCGTTCAGCATGAAGAGGTCGAAGCATGGGCAGCCGGTCGCAGCGAAGCTCTGATCTGTTCCGTTTCTCACTGCTGGGAGTCTCGCGAGCATTCAGATCCTTGTGGTCACCAGCTGCAGATCATCTCGGATTGCACCAGGCTGTATGCCGAAGCCTATGATGCTCCAGTTTGGCTCTTCCTGGATCAGGTGTCCTTGTTTCAGTTCAAGCGGACTGAGGATCAAGACAAGAGTTTCAGACTTGGCATGGGCCATATGCACCTGCTCTACTGCCATGAGCACACCATGACTTTGCGTGTGCACAGCATCAGCTCGAACCAAGAGTGGGAGCAACGTGAGGCAGAAGGACACGTTGTGGATATCTACGATGCAGACAGTGGCGTGGTCCGAGCGGTTCCTCTGAACAAACTCACCCGAAATCAAAATGAGTACCTGGCACGCGGGTGGTGCCAGGCAGAGTACGAATGGTCCAGTACTCGAGCCCACAGCGCTGGCAATCAGAGAGTTGATGTCAGTCAAGATGAGAAAGCAGACTTGAAAGGCAAAGTGCCGATGGTGCCAGTTGAGTTCAGGAAGCGGCTTGATGAGCTCAAATTCACCCACAGATCTGACTCTGATGCTGTGTGTCAGCTCCAGGAGAAGGTGTTTTTTGAGAAGGTGACTACATGCAAAGACCTCAAATTGGAGTTTTTGGATCAGGATGCCTGTCATGCGTTGGCGGAGTGTCTGCCATACTACGAAAGTCTGGAAACATTTGCATTGCTGAACTTTGAGTGCAGCGACGCTGTGGTAGAGAAGCTGCTGAGTGCTTTGAAGCCAAGGTTGACAGGCAATGCCCTGAAGGCCTTGCAGTTTACTTCTTCAGATTTCTTCATAGAAAGAGAGCGACAAAGAGACATGATTTTGCTTGCAGTCGCAGAAGTGTTGCCCCAGAATTCCAGCCTCACATCTTTCAAGGTTTCTGGAAATTTGTGGGAGAGCGGGCAGGCTCTTGCAGAGGCCATGAAAAAGAACACCACACTGCTGGATGTGGCGGTGCATCCTTACGTGGACAATGCTGTGAGAGACAGCCTGAAAAGACGGGATCCCCCACCTTGCTGGCTTGATGCTGTCCTTGCGATTCAGGACATCGCTGAGGGCAACAAGCGCAACGCGGCGAGCCAAAACATGGCACCAGAACCAACCGCAACGACGCGGCCCACTCGTCCACCGGTGAAGTGGGACCTGCTGGTGCAGCTCCTGAAGCAGAACTCCGCAGTGGCGGCGCTGCAGCTGGGAGGGAAATTTTTGGGACCCGTCGGGGCGCAAACCTTGGCTCAAGCCATCCGCAGGAACAAAACGGTGACAATGATCGACCTGGGTATGAATCGCATCGGTGATGCTGGAGCACGCGCTGTTGCAGAAGCTCTGAAGGAGAACGAGACAGTGACGCAAATCAACCTGCGTGAGAATGGGATCGGAAATGCTGGAGCACAGGCTCTTGCAGAAGCCCTCAAAGAGAACAGGACAGTGACGCAGATCAACTTGCGTGAGAATCAGATTGGTGATGCTGGAATACAGGCTCTTACAGAAGCCCGCAAGGAGAACAAAGCAGTGGCACAAATCAGGTTAGTACCCCAGCGCGGATAGTCTCAGCACCGACGAAGTCGGGTCTCAGGGTGTGCGCGGTGACGAGCAAAACTGTCTTCTGTGGTGCTTGCTATATTCGGATAAGCATGAACATGCAGTTGAAGGTCCTGTTAGAAATAATTTCATTGATTTCAGAGAAATAATACTGACGGAACTGAAAATCTGAAGTGCCCAGGAATTGAGGGCCAAAAGTTCGTCGAGCCGTTTTTCAGTTCCATATTCCGTTCGGGCAGGGGGGCATGTGCCGGAGGGCGTGTTGTACATGAAGGCTATGAAGGTTGGGGGTGGTCTCAGGTTCCTCAACCTGAATGCTTCACAAAAACCGATCTAGACTGCAGACACTAAACAGTACCATTCGGCTGATCTGGTTTAGGGTTTAGGGTTTAGGGTTTGGAGTTCGCAAGTTGGAAGTTGACGGGCGTTGCCACCTTGCTCAAGCTTGAAAAAGTGCTGTTGCGGGCTTCTTCCACACAGTAAGTCCCCAAGGGTTGGACAGCAGAAGTCCTTATTGTCATCTTTGAACTTAGCTTGTAAGAGCAGTTACAATTGGGCTATAAATACCTAGGGTTTAGGGTTTAGGGTTTAGGGGCACCTGCAACCAGTCTTTGAACAGAGATGCAAAGACGCCCGCATGTGAGCTTTGGTTACGTTCTCCTAGAGCTCGTCTGCCCCGCGTCCCGTTATTCGCCTAGAGGTGCATGGCTACAGAGGTGCGCCTGCAAACCCTAAACCTAAACCCTAAACCCTAAGAACCCTAAACCCGAAACCCTAAACCCTAAACCCTAAACCCTAAACCCCAAACCCTAAACCCTAAACTAAACCCTAAACCCTAAATCCTAAACCCTAAAACCTCAGGTTTGGACTTGTAGGAACTTGGGGGTACGAGCACGGGGGAGCAGGCCACGTTGTCCCCTATAGAGTCCCCAATCCTTGGCTTGAAGCTCGTTTGTAATCCAGAAAGGGTTTAGGGTTTAGGGTTTAGGGTTTAGGGTTTACGCTTTAGGGCCTCAAGCAAGCGGTTCAGGGTTCAGGGCTTAGGCTTTACAGGACGCAGGAGGATTCTCATGCGTCAGCTACGCTTTGTTGGGGCGACGACCTCCTGAAGCCAATGCAGGGGAACCCTCAATAAGTCAATATGTGTAGTGACGGTGGATGAGCGGGACTGACTTAGCTTGTACATGAGCCATCGTCATAATCCAGCCTTCGTGAGAAGTGACCAAAAGTGGAGGCCATGCACATAAAGCCCACTCTCAGCTCAGAAACCAGAAGCCCTTTGGCACAAGCTGCACAAGTATCCCTTTCAAGTGCTCCGTGCCCCAGCCCCTCTGCCTCTCTCTCCCGTAATGACTTATCGGTCCTGAAGGGGAGTGATGGGAGGTTGGTTTTTGGTTTTGTATGTTGCTCTTTTTATGGCGGGCGCTGTCTGGCTGTGGGGTGTAGGATTCGAGGTTCAGGGTTTAGGGCGGAAGGCACTTTGCAGCTGGGGGTTTTGGGGTTTAGGGTTTTGGGGTCTAGGGTTTTGGGGTTCAGCGGTTTTGGGTCTAGGGGTTTAGGGTTCAGGGATTAGGGGTTTAGGGGTTTGGGTCTCAGTCTTGGGTTTGGGGTTCGGGTTCAGGCACCGTTTTGGTAGATTCGGGTTCCACACGCCCATGATGTCTGCCCTGACTGCCAGGCACACACCGCCTTTGGGCCATCCGCCTCTTGTTGCCAAATAGATTCGACATGTCCACAAGGGTTTCGGCGTGATTAGGGTTTTTGGTTTCGAGACCTGTGCGATGATTGGATGAGGATTAGGGTTTTGGATTTAGGGTGGGTGAGGGGGCTAAAGTTGAGGTGTGGAGTTTAGGGTTCGGGTTTTTGGGTTGGGTTTAGTGTTTAGGGTCAAGCAATTGGACTTGTAAGGAGTTGTGACTATGGTGCCCTCAGATCGTCGCGCAATTTTGACTGCATCACTCGTTTTTTGGCGGGCCAATTTTACTAGAATCACACGCTTCGAGGTGTCTGGAGGGGCTCAACATTGAGAGTGTCACAGGATATCTGGCCGGGGCTTCCAAAAAAGGGGGATCAATGCTTGGGGTGGAAGACGCTGAAAAAGGCACACAAACATATGCTCACGGCGACTGCAATCTAGAGCTAAAACGCTATCCAAATGCGATTGGAAGAAAATATACACAAACACGTGCACATGGATCTAAGGAACCACACAAAGCACAAGATGCATGATGCGTACAATCTTGACAAGGCTGTTCCCAGGAAGCTCTTGGGGTTTAGCGGTTTAAGGGTTAGAAGGTTCAGGCTTCAGGGTTTAGGGTTTAGGTTTAGGGTTTAGGGTTTAGGGTGTAGGGTTTAGGGTTTAGGGTTTAGGGTTTAGGGTGTGTAGTCGTATTCGTTTCTCGGGGCAGAACGCCCCGAGGGGCTCACTCCAGCTGAGCTAAGTGACACCCACACTTGACTCTTTTGGGGTTAAGGGTTCCCACCCCCAACCCCCTATCAAGGGGCGTGTTTTTTTGTTCCCTGCTTATTTGGGTGCAGGCATACATCTTGGGGCCACAGTGCTTTTTCGCGTCTGGGGTTGGGCTGAGGCCCCTTCATGGTGGGATGCGCCTTAGGGGTGAGGCCACCAGATGTCAAGCGGGGGACCTCGGCGGGGGCAACCCTGGCGGGGGCAACCCTGGCGGGGGCAACCCTGGTGGGGGAAACCCGTGCAAAGGGCCACAACACTAAGCACTTTTTTCGCGTCTGGGGTTGGGCTGAGGCCCCACAGGGGAATGCCCCTTACGGGTAAGGCCACCAGATGTCAAGCGGGGGAGAATTTGTGGTTTCGGGACGCCTTTCGTTTCTGGAATTTTTTGGGCGGGGGCAACCCTGGTGAACCCTGGTGGAGCCAACCCTGGCAAAGGCAACTCTTGTGGGGTCAACGGGTGGGGGCCTAACCCCTAAACCCTAAACCCTAAACCCTGAACCTTAAACCCTGAACACTGAACCCTTAACCGTGGCAAGGGGGCGTGCTTGGAGGTTCGTGGTACTTATTACCCAATTATAACCGGTGTTTAGGTTTTAGGTTTTAGGGTTTAGGGTTTAGGGTAGCCCACGATAACTGTATATATCACCCACGTATAAGCCCCTGAATTACCCTAATGTGGTTAGAAGTGGGTTATAACTGCACTCATAGCTGGGTTAGTAAGGTTCACGAACCTCCAAATATGGGAGGGACCAGGATTGGCCTGACCCCAATTGAAGTCGGTTTTTTTGTACTGAATGACATGGTTTTGGGATCATTTGATTGTATGGCGAGACCCTTACTCGCAAAGCCCCAGTTCCAGGCCCAAGCTGGGGGGCTTAGCTTGCAAACGTTACTCGGTTGTATTGCAAAGCCTCTCCCAGCTCGGCAGCAACCGCTTGGGCTCTGCTGCGTGCTCCAATGAGTCCCCGCTAAGTTTAGGGTTGAGTTGGGAGAAAGGGGGAGGAGTGGGGAGAGGAAGGGAGAGTGGGCTGAGGGATGGGTGGGGGGCAGGGAAGTGGGTCGCTGCTCGTTGCTTCCGGGGAGCCCCCCTTCTCTTTTCCTCGAAGCCCTCAGCCACAGGCAAGGACACGACAATAGTGACACGAGCCTCGGAACCCCAAACCCTAAACCCTAAACCCTAAACCCTAAACCCTAAACCCTAAACCCTAAACCCTAAACCCTAAACCCTAAACCCTAAACCCTAAACCCTAAACCCTAAACCTGATGGCATGGTGTGGTCAAGAAGAAGTGGTCCCAACACAAACCAGATTTTGTAAGTGACAGAAACGACCCGTCAAGTGGAGGTGTTTTGTCAGGTACATGCTTGTCGCATGTGCAGAAGCCACGCGGACACAGTCACAGACATTCCGGAAAACAACACAATCACTGCAACATGCATTTTCAATGCATGCAGCTTGGACCGCATGAGTTTCCGACCTTCTCTCCTTCTCTCGCTATCGTTGACGTTGTCGTCGTCATTGTCGTTGTCGTCATGGCGTTTTGCTGGTCGTTGTCCTGGTTATTGTCGTTGCCGGCTGGGGGAGGCAGGTAGTTGTGGTGGCAGTGGTGCTGGGTGGGTGGGTGGGTGGCTGGGTGGCTGGGTGGCTGGGTGGCTGGGTGGGGGTTTGCGCTGTTCTGCAGTGAAAAGAGGGTGCAGTGCAAGATTCGGGGGTTTGTTATGTGCGATTGCTTGCCCTTGCCAGTTTTTCATGAACTAAGGTGAAGTCGAACCTGTTGGTGCAGCATGTACTTTCCAGGCAGCTGGGTTGGGCACCGCAGGCTCGCGTTGCGCGACGCGCCATGAAGCAGAACGAGCAGCTGTAGCCTTTTGCAGGCCTTTTGGTCACGCGTAGCCTTGTCAGAGAGCAGCGAAAGCTCCCCAAGGATTTCTTAGCTAGGGCCGCTAGCTAGGGCGATCTGTCACAAGCTTTCTGACATCCCCCTCGCCGCTAAGAAGCTGCAAGTGCCTTCGGCTTGGAAACCTCTGTACAGGTTGCAGCGTGAGGGGGCGATGGACCTCGAGGGTGTGAGAAAGGTGTTTCGAGGTTTTTTTTGTGCTAGTTGGTTGCAAAAGCTGCCATTTACTACATCACCTTTTATATGCCGCTACAGACCCTTTGAAGGACAGGGTACCGACTTCCCACATTCCCCACGAAGAACCAGGGAATTTGGGCTTTGGATGACAATGAGCCGATCCTCAGACTCGGGCGGGTGATACGTACCTGCACGCAGTGTGTTCGCGAAACGCTCCCAGCCTGCGTTCAGACCATTCTGGCCGTTCTGCTGCAGCGCAGCCACGCAAGCCGTTCCAGATCTGCCCGCATGAGGTCTTCGGCAGCGCTTTCAGTCCATCGGTTCTGGAAGCCAATGGCATGACCCTCTCAGGTGTGCCATGTGTAGATTCAGACTATTCATACACCTACTGTTCTCATGTGGGGCAGCTTGACCACCCGTGAGTCAGCACTGAGTTAAGAGCGAGAGACGCTCTTTGGGCCCA